GCAGCTTGAATTGATTCTCCAGAATTATGATTGGGTAGCATACTTTTTCTAGCAGCATCAACAACTCTTCGTAATGCTAGTCGCTTTTTCTTTCACATGGTCTTTCTTTTCTTCTTCATTGTAGACTTTTTCTTCCTTTTCATTCCCATACCTAATGTTGATTTAGCTTTCATCGTTCCAGATATCGCTAAAGCTGCTGCCTTTTCACTAATACTAGAATCCTTAGATGTAACACGTTGCCACGCCTTTTCAGCTAGCTCTTGGTCTGCAACGTTTCTTGCTTTAATGTTTTCTCGATTTTGCGAATATGCAATATCATGTGCTTTACATGCAGCGTCTAATGGGTTAACACCTTTATCACCACGTGCTAATCTTTTTGTCAACTTTGTACCGGGTCCACAGAATTGGTATCCAGGTAAATGTAATTCAAAAGGTAAACTATTGATAATACGGTTAACTAATCCTCTACCACGACAAAGATGTTTTTTATCACTTCGATGTAAAATCATTCAACACTCTATGAAGTTTGATGTGCAACTGACTGTAAGACTATAAAATCCTAGTATTTATAGTTTTCAGAGCAGTTACTGTCAAGATGCAGTTCACGAAACAACCTGTAGCACTCCCAATCACAAGTATTGACGTTGAAACTAGTGAGAAAAAAGTTCAACGTCATGGTAGTTTGTTTTCAGATAGCATCCGAGCTGTCCTTTGTGGTCTCTCTAATTGTGGTAAAACAAACGCTCTTCTCTCTTTAATCATACATCCAAATGGTTTAAGTTTTGAAAATATTTACCTATACTCTAAATCTCTGCAGCAGCCAAAATATCAATTTTTGAAAAATGTAATTCATGACGTGGATGGAATTGAATACTTTCCATTTAGTGAGCATGAAGAAGTAGTATCTCCAAAAGATGCTAAACCAAACTCAATATTCATCTTTGATGATATTGCTTGTGAAAAGCAAGACAATGTTAGAGCTTTCTTTTGTATGGGTAGACATGTAAATGTTGACAGTTTCTACTTGTGTCAAACATATGCTCGTATTTCAAAACACTTGGTGCGAGATAATGTAAATTTACTGGTGCTTTTTAGACAAGATGAAAAAAATTTAAAACATGTCTACGAATATCATGTAAATACAGACATGTCTTATACTCAATTTCGTGATTTATGTTCAGAAGGTTGGAAATCTGATAAATATGGATTTGTCGTTATTGATAAAGATAGGAATTTTAATGAGGGAAGATATAGAAAGGGATTTGATTGCTTTATTACACTATAAATATAACTACTTTATTTCATTTTAAATTAGTATAGTTTATTTTATCAAGACGGAAACATGTATAGAAAAGAGCAAGAAACACCTCGTCAAATAGCAAAAGCAAGCGACGCTATTAGACGAAAACATCGCTTACTTAAAATGGGTAAAGAGGCTGCAGAGACATTGTTAAAAGAAACTCTGCAACCAATAGTTACACCTCTTCAAAAGTTGGCAAATGTAACTGAAACTCCTTTCAAAAATGTTAAAATTGAAAAATTCAAGAAAGATGATAATGATTTCTCTTTTTCAACTGCTGTTGACGATGATGAAGAATTTGATAAAACTCTACTAAATTCAACTTTACTTGATAAGAGCAATAACTTTGAAAAAGAAGAAGAAGATTATGAAAAAATTACAAATAAATTTATTTTTATGTTAGATAAAAATAGAAAACTGTTTTTAGATACGGTTTATGGAGCACGTAAACTTGCCAACACCTATTGAATTTGAAGGTTCACATATTAAGCTTATTGGAAAGAAAAATTATTTAAAAATTGCTGGGTTACTTGAACTTTTATTTAAGCAGAAACCAAAAGAAGCTTTAATAAGTTCAGATGATTTTTCAAATTATAAAGAAATTCTCATTGCTACGAATGCACATCGAAAAAATTATAGCCCAAGTGAATCTGTCAACATAAGCAGGACTTCCAAGTACACTGATGTTATTGCAAAACTTATCAAAAGTACACCAAAGAAAAGTGGTGCTGGTTCTTTAAAGAAGCATAAAAATATATTACCACAATTTATGATTGCAAAAAGACAATTTAATCCAGACTACATCTATTCGGATGATCCAAATGAACTCGTTGACCGTTTACGACTACTCATAGGATCACAGCAAGCTGGTAATCCAAGTCATAATAATGAGATTATGTCAATTATCGAAGAACTTCGTGAAGCTCGAATTATATATTAAGAGAGAGCATATAGAATAATTGCTTAGTATTACAATGAGCATTGATGTGTTCGGACATTCTTTAACACGACCTGTTGCAAGTCGTGGACTACCTGGACCTTCTGGTATTGGATTTAAAGTTACTCCAAGTGGAGATTACAATATTGAAGGCAAAAGACTTTGTAACGTTCAAGACGCTGAAGAGCTGCATGATGCAGTAAATTTACGACTTGTACAACAAATTATCCGAAACGAGATAAAAACTATCTTTCAAATTACATCTTCTTTAAGATCAGCCATTGATGATTTGAATATTTTAATACAAGTTGTTGAAGATAGAGTTAACGAAAAACTAAAACAAATTGAATTCCAACAGAATATTATTATCAAGGAAACTACATTTATTCCAAATGATGAATGATAAAAAGTTAACAGTTGTAACTGAACTACATAAACAAGCGAGAAGGAATTATCCTCGTCGTAAAGTTCAAATGCGTGGCATAGATGAAACCTGGCAAGCAGATTTGGTAGAAATGATACCTTACTCCTATTCCAATAAAGGTTTCAAATTCATGCTCACAGTAATAGACATATTTTCCAAATATGCCTGGGCTGTACCTGTAAAAAGTAAAAATGGAAAAGATATTTCTCTAGCCATGAAATTAATATTAAAAGAAGGTCGTATTCCAAAAAATTTACACACTGATAGAGGCAAGGAATTTTATAACTCTGAATTTCAGAGTTTAATGCAAGAATTCAATATTAATCTCTATTCAACTTATAGTAATTTAAAAGCATCAATTGTTGAAAGGTTTAACCGCACTCTAAAAAATATGATGTGGCCTGAATTCAACTTACAAGGCAATTACAAATGGATTAATCTTTTACCAATTCTCATATCAAAGTACAATAATAAAAAACATCGTACGATTGGTATGAAACCTAAAGATGTCACCGTAGAAGATACAAGAGAACTGATGAGACGTATCCGTAAACTAAGAAAAATTCCATTGAGAAGACAAAAATTTAAAGTTGGAGATAGAGTTCGAGTCAGCAAACATAAAAACATCTTTGAAAAAGGATACACCCCCAACTGGACAACGGAAATATTTACTATAGATCAAGTTAAACGAACAAAACCAGTTACATACAAACTTACAGATTATGAAAATCACCCAATCGAAGGTGGTTTCTATGAAGAAGAACTATTAAAAGTGAAATATCCAGATGTTTACCTCGTCGAGAAAGTCCTTAAAAGCCGTGGCAATAATGTATATGTAAAATGGCTTGGATTTGACAACTCACACAATAGTTGGATAAAAAAATCTGATATGTAATATATATAAAAATAGTTAAAATAAAGTTTAAAATAGTTAAAATAAAGTTAAATATAGTTAAAAAAAAAAAGTTAAAAATAGTTAAAATAAAGTTAAATATAGTTAAAAAAAGTTAAACATAGTTAAAAAAAATTTAAAAATAGTTAAAATAAAGTTAAAAATAGTTAAAGAAAAGTAAAAAAAAGTTAAAGAAAAGTTAAAAGTAGTTTAAAAAAAAGTTAAAAATAGATAAAAATAGTTAAAATAAAGTTAAAATAAAGTTAAATATAGTTAAAAAATGTTAAAAATAGTTAAAATAAAGTTAAAAAAAGTTAAAAATAGTTAAAAAAAAGTTTAAAAAAGTTAAAAATAGTTAAAATAAAGTTAAATATAGTTTAAAAAAAGTTAAAAATAGTTAAAGATAAGTTAAAAATAGTTAAAGATAAGTTAAAAATAGTTAAAGATAAGTTAATAATAGTTAAAGATAAGTTAAAAATAGTTAAAGATAAGTTAAAAATAGTTAAAGATAAGTTAAAAATGTTACTAGATTAAGGTTCTAATAAATAAACATAATATAAAATGTACAGTATCTTTTATTAAAACACCTTTATCTCCCCAAATCATCATCATCATTTATTTACAATTCCATAGCTTCATCATTAATTTGTCTAATTTTACAATGTCCCCATGCTAGGGTAGCGGTACTATTGGATAACAGAAATCTTTTATCGTCGTAAGGACTTAAAGCTATTTTTGTTTGTTTTAATGTTTGAACATTGTGAAGTTTCGATCTGATAAAATATTGAATTCGCGATTGCATTTTAATATTTCGTAAACAATATGTGTAGTCATCAAAGGTAATAGTTTTCTTTACAACCGCAGATTTCACACCTTTTGCTTTTTTAATAAAATCTTGATCTTCCACTCGCACACTGTACATTTTGCTCCGCAAGCCAACAAATTCAGTAACAATTTTTCCACAGCATTCATCCTTCATCAGACCTAAAACTTTTTTGTTGGCTTGCGGAATACCGTAAATATTATTTGCTGGATAATCGGAAGTATCAAATTTGTGGATATCGACATTCATATCTGCATAAATATCAGGACATTTAATTTCGTAAATCAGTCTGTCAGTGTCGGTGTACAATAGTTTTAAATTCTTTATATCATACTTTTTCAACATATAATCATAATGGAAATCGAAGATTAACGTTTTCGAAACATCCAACACAGACAGACCAATATAAAGTGGTTTGTTCATTAAAACCTCCATTTTCCTAAGTTCCACAGCCACCAAGTTTTCATTAAAGATGGTTCTGCTGTGGAAGTTAGGTTTGGAGATGAGGGCTTCAGCTCCATATCTACCCTCCCACTTTGTCACAAGTTTAATGTCAACATGTTTTCGCACGTTCTCCATTGTTTTGCCAAATACTGCGTTGTTCATTAATTTTAACAAGTTTTTCTAAAATTCATTACTGGCATTTGTTCTCCGCATGGTATTAAAGTCTATGTAACTTTTCAACCATGTGGATTGTTCGAATTTTAGTACGCGATGGATTTTAACTAATATAAGACCGTTGGCAATAGCTTGTTTTAAGGCACGATAATAGAGAACGTGCTTTCTTTTAGGTAGGAGGGTAGTTAGGAGCTTCTGCTCTTTTGACCCTAGTGGCTTCGAGCGTTCTGGACAAAATGGAAAATCGCTATGTTTATCATGAAGATGATCTGGATAATCCAAATCAACTTCCAAGATATAACCAATTGGACCATCATCAGGAACATTAAAGTCAAAATCATTATTTACATTTTCTTCTTCCCACTTGAAACCACCATAGGGCAGCGACTGAACCATAGCCCAGCCATACAAATTGTTTGCGTCAAAGTACACGATGTAAGATGTCTCCTCACTTTCATTGAAATTCTCCATGTAAGGATTGTTAGCTTTCGCGTACCGATTTGTGCACTGACTAATCCCACCTCTTATCCCACGTTCGATAAACATGACCATATCAATGTCTGTGAGGAGTTCCAAACTTATATTCGTGTACTTTAACATGGCATCCCATGTCAGTCCAGGTGTTGTATAGTAATGTGCTGCATCAAGGCCATATGCTAATAAACACTCATTTCTAAAATTTTCAAAGATATCCGCGAGTAACAATATATCGGTTTGCATGTACAAATACACATAATCACCTAAATTTTTACAATTAAATTCACTCCATACTTTCTGCGCATGTGCATAATCTTCATCTGAAACATACGAATCGTTTAGAGTGCTGTAAAATTTTTCTTTCGGGGGTAACTGAGTTTCATCGAGTTTTTCCCTTGAATCAATGTACTCATAGGGAAAAACTCCTTTTCGCGTTAACAATTGAACTTTGTCATCACTGTAATTGGAAAATACGGAATTTACAATTTTGTATTCGTCAAGATAGGATGCTAACTTGTCCAATGACGATGCCATAAACTTGAAAGAATCAATAAAACGAAATTTTAGATAACTACCTTTAACATTTTTAGTAAAGCTAATATACTTTTCTTTATTTATGGGAAGCAGATTAACATTACCTTCAAATTCGGTAGCAATTGCATCAATAATAAAATGAGCATCATAACCACTGAGGTTATGAAAAACGACAGGTATGATTTGCGATTCATGGTAATTAATGTTACAATCTTGATGTGCGGGTCCGCGATACTTCCCTGTTAGATGACAATGGTCTCTAACTTTTACATCCCCGTACGCGATTTTCTTTTTACAAATATGACAAGTACTATCATATCGAAAACCTAATAACTGCTGTGGACTTAATGTTTCCATAGGAACTGGATTTTTAAATCTGGAATCTAAATCATCAGCCAAGTTCTTTAATTCTTTAGAGAACCATTTAGCTGGATTTTCATCATCTCTGGGTGATGCTTTGTACACAGACAAAGAGTCATCGAAACTACATTTTAAATAGTAGCCAATGCTAAGTGTTTTACGATTTTGGAAGACTTCAGTATTGGTTTCTTTCACAATCAGCATAAATAATAAAGGGCACACGCTCCTTATTTTGAAAATTTTTAAACTCAACTGTATTTTGACCTTTTTTGGGTAATTTGATTCTTGTGTTGTTCATTTTTCTACAATTCTCCTCATGTTCAGTAAGCTTTTCTTGATTAAGGAAATAATGTAAGCAGCGATCACAAATGTATTTCTTATTTTTCTGCCTTGATAAGTCTGAACTGACAAGTCTAGATAAATCCTTTATCCAGACGTAATGATAGTTAAAAGAGATGAGAGGTATTTCATTTTCATCATCATCATCATCATCTTCACTTAGATTTTCATCTATATAATGATCTTCAATTCGAAGAAGATTGACGTGATTTATCTTCTTTTGAGATGAAAGATGAAGAGGTGAAACTGTAAACTTTTCATCTCTTTTAACAAGACCATACAAGTTGACGGAAATATTGTTCAAAGCTTCGAATTTAAAAATATCATTAAGGGAGACAGGGAACTTAATTCCAGTAAAATTCAATTCACCTTCATAAGACTTGTACTTTGAAACTCGTTCAGCGTTCTTTTCAACTGGGTGCAAAGAAGATAATATTGCCCATTTGAAACACTGATTATCAAAATTTTTAACATTAATGCAAGCATGTTTTCGATTGATAGCAGATGGCAAATTGATATAAGAACTTGCACGCATAGGGTTGTACTTGTTAATGTTAACCTCCAACCTTTCAATAGAATTAAGTTTCCAATCAGATTCTTTCTGTTGGAATTCTTCAATTCTTTTTAAGGTAACTTGTTTAACATTAACATTGTACCACTCATCTATGGGGTTGTCGATAAAATTGCTTCTGTTTTCGCAATAAAAGTTTTCAATTCAGACTTTTCTATACCGTTGACTGAATCTTTAATAAACTTCGCGCCCAATACAGTATAAACTTTTATCGGACCATACCTATTTAAAGCTTTTTGAATATTCACTTGAAATAAACAAAAGGCATGGTCAAGGAATTCATTAATATCCATGTAATCTAAATTCATTACAGCACTAGTTTGTAATCTACCGTCAAACGCTTCATCAAAATCCACCCATGTCATTCTCTCATTCGCTACTTGCACACCCGCACCGCGTTTCATTACAGCATCAAAATGGCAACGAAAGTATTCCAATTTCTGGCTTAAATTTAAACATCTAGATCTTTGAGATGAAGAGAAATCTGACCTATGCAAAAATTTTCTAAAAATATTCTTATATCTTTGACACTTATTTTGCCATTCGAATGCAGTAATGCATTTTTCATCGCCAGTCATCGACATTGTAGCGATGAGCTGACGTTCTGCGATTTTAATAAAGTTGTCAGATTCCTGACATACTTCATTGTACTCGTCAGTGTCAATACGTTGACGAGAATTCTTCGGAGATTTGCACTTTGGCATCTTAGAAGCTAAATCTAAAAACCTGAAAATAAGCTGAAAAAAGTACACCTAAAAATAAGAAAAAACCTTAAAAAACAACAACAAAAATCCTGAAATAAAAAACCCTGAAATAGAAAAAAACCACCACCAACTTAAACCTAATAAAAAAAATAGAACACAAAAAAATAAACAAACACCTATAATAAAGAAAAAAAAATTATATCCAAAAACGAAATAAAAAAAATCTCTGAAAAATAACTCTGAAATGAAACTCTGAAAACTACAGAAAACCTGGAAGTAGACTGCTGCACCTTACAAGATGCAACTGAGGCTCGTAGCTCGCGCTCCGCAACTTATACACCAGTCCCCACTACTCAACAGTCGCGCGCAACACTCCATCCCTCTACGACGCGCCCCACCAGTACACAGTCGCGCGCATCTCTCCTACCACAATAGAGTGAACGCACTCACTTTAAATTTCCCACCAAGGGGGTTTGAATTGGTCGGTAAATGAAAAAAGGCGCAATCTCGTGGAGGCAGCCGGAAATAAACTCAGTCGGTAAAACAGAACACACCGACCAAGACACTTTAAAATTTGAAATAAAAATTTAAATATCCCACCATGGGGGTTTGAATTCGACGGTGGCGCCATCTAGCAGTGGCAGCCGGTACCAAGCTCGGTCGGTAAAGAAGAACACCAAGACACTTTAAATTAAACTTTTAAAAATTCAAATTTCCCGCCAAGGGGGGTTGAATTGGCCGGTGGCGGTCGGAACTAACTCGGTCGGTAAAGTAGAACACCAAGCCACTTTGAATTTGGGCTTGTTATCGACCTCGGTCGGTAAGTGAGCCAGAACCCGTGTAGATCAACTACTTCCCTTAATCAAGGGATTGGCATCAAATTTGTAATTTGTGGCTATTTTCTACAATTATAATATAAAATGTGGTCCTTATTGAAAATTTGACAAAAAATTAGGTATTTCAAAATTATCCACGAAAACCGTGAAATTCGAATAAAAAACGTATTAGGATAAAAAACCAATAATATGACAATTTTCCTGATATATTTCCTTGAAATCTATGAGACATAGCGATATAAAAAGAAGCGGTTTAAAAATAAAGAAAAAAAACAGAAATTCGAAAATTCCGACAAAATTTAAGAATTTTGTTGTTAATATAATAGAAAGAAAGATTCGGTATTTCCAAATTGTCCACGAAAACCGTGCAATTCGAATAAAAAATGTATTAGAATAAAAAAAACCAGTTTTATGACGATTTTTCTGATAGATTTCTTTGAAATCTATGAGACATAGCGATATAAAATGAAACGGTTAAAAAATAGAGAATAAAATCAAAAATTCAAAACAATGCAATACACTTAGGACAAACTAAAAAATATATTCCCAAAAGATGGCATCCCTTAATCATGGGATTGGCATCAAATTTGTAATTTGTGGCTATTTTCTACAATTATAAAATAAAATGTGGTCCTTATTAAAAATTTGACAAAGAATTAGGTATTTCAAAATTATCCACGAAATCCGTGAAATTCGAATAAAAAACGTATTAGGATAAAAAAAACCACTTTTATGACGATTTTTCTTATAGATTTCTTTGAAATCTATGAGACATAGCGATATAAAATGAAACGGTTAAAAAATAGAGAATAAAATCAAAAATTCAAAAAAATGCAATACACTTAAGACAAACTAAAAAATATATTCCCAAAAGATTACATCCCTTAATCATGGGATTGGCATCAAATTTGTAATTTGTGGCTATTTTCTACAATTATAAAATAAAATGTGGTCCTTATTGAAAATTTGACAGAAAAATTCGGTATTTCGAAATTGTCCACGAAAACCGTGAAATTTCAATAAAAAACGTATTAGGAAAAAACCAGTATTATGACGATTTTTCTGATAGTTTTCCATGAAATCTACAAGACATAGAGATATAAAATGAAGCGGTTAAAAAATAAAGAAAAAAAAACAAAAAATTGAAAATTCCGACAAAAATTTCGGAATTACGATTTTATTATAATAGAAAGAAAGATTCGGTATTTCGAAATTGTCCACGAAAACCGTAAAATTAGAATAGAAAACGTATTAGAATAAAAAAAAAGTATTATGACGATTTTTTCGATAGTTTTCCTGCACAATTATGAGACATAGCGATATAAAAAGAAACGGTTAAAAAATAGAGAAAAAAATCAAAAATTCGAAAAAATGCAATACATTTAAGACAAACTATAAAATATATTCCCAAAAGATGACATCCCTTAATCAAGGGATTGGCATCAAATTTGTAATTTGTTGCTATTTTCTACAATTTTAAAAGAAAATGTGGTCATTATTGAAAATTTGAAAAAAAAATTCGGTATTTCGAAATTGTCCACGAAAACTGAAATTTGAATAATAAACGTATTAGGATAAATAACCATTATTATGACGATTTTTCTGATAGATTTCTATGTAATCTATAAGACATAGCGATATAAAAAGAAACAGTTAAAAAATTGAGAATAAAAATCAAAATTTCGAAAATTCCGACAAAATTTCGGAATTATGATTGTAATATAATAGAAAAAAAGATTCGGTATTTCGAAATTGTCCACGAAAACCGTGAAAATCGAATAAAAAACGTATTAGGATAAAAAACCAGTATTATGACGATTTTTCGGATAGATTTCCTAGAAATCTATGAGACATTGCGATATAAAAAGAAACGGTTAAAAAATAGAGAAAAAAATCAAAAATTCGAAAAAAATGCAATACATTTAAGACAAACTATAAAATATATTCCCAAAAGATGACATCCCTTAATCAAGGGATTGGCATCAAATTTGTAATTTGTTGCTATTTTCTACAATTTTAAAATAAAATGTGGTCATTATTGAAAATTTGAAAAAAAAATTCGGTATTTCGAAATTGTCCACGAAAACTGTGAAATTTGAATAAAAAACGTATTAGGATAAATAACCAGTATTATGACGATTTTTCTGATAGATTTCTATGTAATCTATAAGACATAGCGATATAAAAAGAAACGGTTAAAAAATAGAGAAAAAAAAACAAAAATTCGAAAATTTGGACAAAATTTCGGAATTATTATTTTAATATAATAGAAGATAATGAACTATTAATGTGTTACATCCCGAGCGAAAGGCGAAGTTGAAGTTAATTTTAATTAATAAAATCAATTTTTTAATTTTTGGAGGAATGGTAGGCTGATTAAGTCAAGTTGGTAAAGCTTGATCATTTATTTTTATGTTAGAACGTTTGTTTCTCTCAATCCTACGGGGGTCGTCTTTTAATTTATTTTACTATTAAATAATTGTCTTGACTTATAGTTGTTAATTTAAATATGAATTTAGGTATATGAGAATCTCAGTGAAGAATTTTATTGATATAAATGTTGTATAATTTATTAATATAAATGAATTAAATGAAAATGTTACAATAATTTTTTATGTTAAAAGATGTTGTTACAAGAATATTAAAGAATATTAATATTATTAAAAAATTTTAAATATAGTACTTACAATTACCTCTGTTCAGAGGGCAGAAACAAATATAAATTGACAAGTTGGCACTTGTCCTTGACGCTGTGAGTTTTTACAACTCCTAAAAAGGAACGGTTGAGACTTCCTCACAGTTTTTTAGTTCGTAAACTCCGAAATGCACACACGTCACGTTTGCAAAATCGTTAAATTGGGAATACACTAATACGTCGATTAACAATAAAATTTAATAAATGACAAGGTTACAAATCTGGCGATGATGATTACTTGCTCTAATACCAAACAACGAGTAAACATATACTGTTCCAGATGCAAGAGTTACAGTTGTAATAATTTTAAAGTAACCGACGGGTCAAACTCACGTTGGTAATTTCATGTTATGAAACGAACTATGAAATGATTCCGGAGCAAATGACAATGCATTTGCATGGGTTTTTATACTAGAAAATCATCCTTAGTGGGAGTAAATAAGTTCAAAGATCACCCCATCTCCAAGCTTGACTCTTAGACCTTTCATAGAATTAAGACAATTCTCAAAACTTAGATGGACACTAAATAATTGTAATTGCATTTTATATAATATTGCAAAAAAACTAGTATAGATAGTTTTCGCTCTTGTTGAACAACCACACGCGATTCCTCAGCATAGCCCTTCTGTAGCAGGAGGTCACCTTCGGTGATGCATCTACGCGCCATATCTATACTCACATATCCATGCCTGTACGCACTATATTTAGATTTGGTTCAACTTCACTTTGCCTAATTTTGATAGTATTTACAAGCGATTGCAAAGTTTGTAACGATAGAGTGTCGTAGTATATTCGCCCGGCGAAAAGAGAGAAAGTAGACAGAGTAACTAGTACTGTCACTCTCTTTCCCTCCACTCAGTGTCACCTGGCTGGCAGTGATATACCTTTCGTCTCGCACCTTTTTCCTCAGTCGTCTTCCGACTCGCCTAGAAGTGCTTCTCTGGCGAACTAAAAGCGATTCACTCCAGGCCACCTAATGCTCAGTAGAGGTTCGTCTCTCTGAAAACGAAAGCCTTTCTGTTTTCCTAGGAGCAGTACTCCAGTCTGTATGTGCTTCTGCAGATGGGTAACTCCCATCTATCTTGTTTTCATGGACTCTGTAGGAGCTTCTTCGAGATACCGTCATCCTCGTGACCACTCTGTAGGTGCGTCTGCGAGAGGATGCGAGTATGACATCACTATCTTGATAACGAGAGTACCGTCCGTTTCTAGAAGTTCCTAGTTCACGACAAGCAAGAGTATCTGGTACATACCTGATCCTATAAACAATTGACTACCTCCTAGTTTTCCTGTAGTAAATTACCTATGATTGCGTACCCTAGTTATTGTTTGCCGTGATATAGCTTAAATATCCATCTAGATAATTTATTCGGGTGAACGCGACCTCGTCATCGTGAAGATACCTACGTAGTATGAGACAGTGAAAGGCCCTTGCCATTCGAGTAGAGGGCGTTGCGATCAATCGAGAGAACAGCCATTGTTAACCGCGACACTAGTTAAACTCAGTTTTTTATGTCTTAATGTTTTAGATTCATTCTTTATCTTTTGCATTATGTAGATTCTTCTGTTCATTTATTATTTTATGTTATATAGGGATTGCAATCCCGCATGGTTTTCAATCCAGCGGGATTTTTGCGGGACTGAAAAACAATCCCCCTGGATCCCGCGGGATCCAGCAACATTTTTGGTCAATAAGACTTTCGACGACCATTTTTTAAAAATTTTTCCTCAAAATTGAAAAACCTTCCATACGTGGTCACTGTTTTCTCCGTACGCATATAATTTTTGTGAATAAAAATTAAAGTATTACAGAAACAAGCAATATCTTTAGAATAAAGCTTGTTTATAACAAAATAATTTGGCAAATATTCTGCTTTTTAATGAGATTCATTTGTAAAATGATGAATGAAACATGAGTGTTTATATAGAAAATAATATTTATTAAGATAAATAAAGTTAAATAAAATAAAGAACCTAGTTACACGAGTAGTTACATGTCTACTTTTTGGCTTTGTATTATTTGTGTAGTAACTTTATTATTAAAGACATTGTCTCTTCATATATTTAAAACAAAATTAAATATAATATTAACAGTCAAATCCTTTGACAAAAAAAGATAATAATAAGATTAAAAGATAATAATAACTGTCTTATACGTTTTGTTGAAAATATGACTTCAATAAACAGATTGTATTAATTGTTTCATCACCTAGTCTACTTCTCAATGAGCTACAAATGTATCCTGCAGCAGAAAATGCTCTTTCCGCTTCTACACTTGTTGGTGGTATAGTTTTTAAATGATTATAAATGATAGACAGGTATTTGCCTTTTAAACCATCACTTTCATAACTAGACATTTCTTTTTTTAATATTTTTTCAAACTCTACAGCATGCTTAATCTTTCCTTGATAAAGAGCATTTTTGTCATCTTGTAGTAACATTTCCAGTTCTTCTTGTATCGATAAATTTTTACGCATAATATCCTGATTATTTTCATTTTCAGAACATTCAGAATCTTCAGTACTATCGTTTTTATTATTGTTTTTAATAACTCTTTGTAAAAGTTTTTTCATCTCTCGGCGTAAAACAGTATTTTTCGGCAACGAAAATATAGGATCAAACTTCTGTAACTCTTCCTCATATTTTTTTGAATTTTGCAAATACATCATCATTCCTGACAAATCAGTACGGCGTTCTTGTAATCTTTGGCGGACGGCAGTAGATAAGTCACGGCTTAAAGCACTTTGTTGTTTATCCAACTTTTCTAATATAAAACAAAAAGTTGTATCTGCGGTTAAAAGTGTCGAATCTCTCCTACATAATACTTCAACTCCCAACTTAAGAGGCTGTAAGCTCAAATTTAAATCATTAATTTTGAACCATTCATCATCAGTAAATTGTATTTCAGATGCTATATCTATCAACGCCTTTTTGATGCATACTTTAAGATCGTAGAAACGTTCCAGCATATTAAGTAAACTATTCCAGCGCGTCTTGCAGTCCAAAATCAAAGTTAAGTCTTTTCCGTGCTCTTCGCGTACATATTTCTGCAAATACATATCGTTTTTCGTTGGTGACTTTCTAAAAATCTTCACAACTTTCCGCACTTTCTTAATGAGATCGTTATAGTCGGAAATTAAATCCACGCGTGGTTGATCCAACATAACAGTTAAGCCTTGCATTTCGTATGTTTTCTCACTTTCCTCGTTGTCATAATCTTCAAACTCTGTAACCAATCTGATGCATTCTTCTGCCGTACATGAACCATGAATTCGAATCAAGCCAAGATTAAAATGAGTTTCAATATGATGAACGTTTAAGTTTAAATATCTTCGATTTTTATGTGACGTCCATTCATCAAAAGTTAAAGAAAATCTTTGATCTCGTTCTTTTAGATTTTGAAACTTTTTTATCATGTCACTTTTTACAGAATTCGAAAATTTCGTCACCATTTCTCTTATCGTATTAGCAGATTTCGGAAGCTGAAAAGAACTCTTCGCAAATAAGTTTCTTAAATCTTGAGACGTACAGAAACAATTGAAAGTTAAACCATCTTTAGCTATCATTCGAGATACCATTTTTTCCATAGAATATTCTTTTTCTAAATATTCATCAATTGTTTTGGCTCTTTTTTTGGTATTACATTTATATCCCTATCGCAGTTATTGTCATTTTTCGATGTCGACATCTCAAGTTGTTGTGGCTCCAACGATTGGAAAGTTTTTGAATTCAAATCAATACAATGTTTAGTTTTTAAATTTGTTTTTAAACCTTTCGTCGATCGTTGACTGATTTTTAAAACGTTGCTACATAACATACATTTTGCATTTTCACCACTATCTGCTTTTGTAAAATAGTTCCAAAGAGTTTTTTTAACCTCACCATTTTTTCAATGCCTATCTTTATCGACATAATTATTTACTCTATTTCTTCCTGTAAAATACGTCAATGTTAAATATTAAACAAAACTTAACACAATAAAATCGTTAATGAATATTAGTAAAACGAAATTTGATTTTATATTAAAAGAGAGGTATTAAAAAACTAACCTTAAATTTATGAAAACAAACAAATAATCATTTGAAAAATATTAAGGCCAGGCTCCTCCAAAAACCGTGTTTTTTTCAAACAAATTTTATTTATATTACAAAAAATATTTATAAATCAAAGTTTTTATAAATTAAAAGACTTATATAAGTACTACTTGAAAAAAAAATTTTTTTCTTATTTTTTCAAAATGGCGGCTCCTAAAATCGCTGCCGAAACGCGTCCTTCGTGTTGGTGGGTGACAGGATAACTCAAAAACGAATCACCTGAAAGCAAAAATCAAAACGGTTTCTTAATCTGTATCACATTGGCTATGGTGTAAACTACAACCAAAAATATTCATTGTTATTTACAAAAGTTATAAACAATTAAAAGTGAAAAAAAGGGTAAAAAACTTAAAAAGTCTGACATTTTGTTTTTTTTTGGTGAAAATATTTTATTGTAGTTCACACCATAGCCAATGTGATACAGATTAAGAAACCGTTTTGATTTTTGCTTTCAGATGATTCGTTTTTGAGTTATCCTGTAACCCACCAACACGAAGGACGCGTTTCGGCAGCGATTTTAGGAGCCGCCATTTTGAAAAAATAAGAAAAAAAATTTTTTTCAAGTAGTACTTTTATAAGTCTTTTAATTTATAAAAACTTTGATTTATAAATATTTTTTGTAATATAAATAAAATTTGTTTGAAAAAAACACGGTTTTTGGAGGAGCCTGGCCTTAAATCTGAATCGAGAATACGTAACATTCGTTGGAAGGTATATAACTTCCTTTTTCTTCAGAAAAAGTAAATCAATTATATATAATAAATAAATAATATATGGGTAAATTGAAACTGAAATCTATTTGTTTACACGTTGACAGTTGACACTGAGTAAGTAGTTATTGGTTCGATCAATCGAGATTCGAGATATGTGGGCAAATTGATGGTGCAGTAGAATCAGAGATAGACAGGGTTGTGCAGTGACGCGTCACTCAAGGTAACATACGTGCAAATACGTAACATACGTATAATTTTCAAAAATCGTTTTTTTTGCGGATCCCACATTATTTTGTGCGAGATCCCATGATCCATCAAAAGGTATGGGATCCCGTGGGAACGCTGGATCCCACTTTGCGGGATTGCAATCCCTATTCACGGGAATAATAAAATACCAATAAAATTAGGAAAAGGTTCTAACTAAAAATAATTTTGTAAGTATTGGTCCAACTTTTATTGTACCAATTTTTCAGGGATTAAAGAGAAAGAAAAGAAAGAATAATTAAATATAAAAAATTTATTTGTTTGACTTACTTTTTATTGTAGTATTTGTACGAAGAAATTTATGCAATCCTTTTTTTGTATATAAATTTTGTAAATTTGGAACTTGTTGAAAATTTTTATATTTGTAGAATAAATTAAAATTTTGTATTGTATACTCTTTTTTAGAAGAAATGAAAATCTTGAACTTTTTAGAGATGAATTTTTTTGCACTGTTTCTCTAGAAATGAAAAATTATACTTGTTATTCAGAAATGAAAATTTTGTACTGAACTTCTTTTTTAATGATGATTTTTTTGCACTCAAGTCTAATGGGACTTCTTTTGGTTTTTAAAGGGAATGATTCTAACTCCACTTCTT